GACTCGGTAGACTGGCAGTTTCTGTTTCAAACAATGCATGCTATGAATTTCCCAGACTGCTTCCTGAACCTTGTTAGAGCTTGCATCACTACTCCTATGCTTAGTGTAGCCTTTAATGGTGGAATATGTGGGTACTTCCCGGCGGGGAAAGGGCTTAGACAAGGAGACCCCCACTCTCCATTTCTATTTACCATAGCTATAGAAATTTTCTATAGATTGCTTGAAAGGGCTGTTATTGACAATCAAATCCCTTATCATCCAAGATGTAAAGCACTGGAGATTACTCATCTGTGTTTTGCAGATGATTTGCTTGTTTTTACTAATGGTTCTGTGAGAGGTGTTGTTGGAATCAGACGGTTGCTTGACTAGTTCTACATTGTCTCTGGGCTTCAATGTAACATGGCTAAGTGTAGTCTCTACTGTGCGGGGATATCTTAGGATGAGAAGGATTTTATTTCAAGAACAACTGGGTTCCCTCTGGATACTCTCCCTGTTAGATATCTAGGGTTTCCTTTATTAACTGGAAAGTTGAACTCACCTGACTGTTAGGTGTTGGTTGACAAGATAACAGCAAGGGTGAGAAGTTGGCAGTCAAGGTTTCTTAGCTATGTTGGTTGTCTACAGTTAATCTCTTCAGTAATTACAAGTGTTTTCCAATACTGGATGGCGATTTTCCTGTTGCCAATGAAGGTATTAAGGTTGATTGAGAAAATTTGTAATGATTTTCTCTGGAACGTGGGAGAAGGGGGTTCAAGGAAGAGGGCGCCAGTAGCATGGGATTATGTAGCCTTGCCAACAAAGGAAGGTGGGTGGGGGTTCGTGATTTTAAGACCTGAAACCAGGCTTGTGTCATTCGACATCTTTGGAATCTGCTGGCAAAGGCTGGCTCTATCTGGGTTGCCTAGATCTACAAGTACAGGGTAAAGCAGCGAAATGTCTAGGATATTTAGACTACTGCTAGTGGTTCTTGGGTGTGGAGGAAGATCCTCAAATGCAGGGCCAGGGCACAGGTCTTTATGACGGGTAGTGGTGATTCTTTGCAATGGAATGGAGCCTCTCTTAAGAGGTATTCAATCAAGGCAATTTGGGATTCAATACGCTCTCCTCATCAGGTTGTTCCTTGGAGCAAAGGGGTTTGGGGAAAACCGTATTATCCCAAGCACTCACTATTAATCTGGCTTGTGGTAATGGGTCGTATAAATACTAAAGACAAATTGTTGGCTTGGCGATTGACTACTGATGATTTGTGTGTTTTATGTTCAGGAGGATCAGAATCACGTGTGCATCTGTTCTGCTCATGTTCTTATACTATGTGGATTTTGCATCACATTATGCAACAGATAAACTGTGTGGTTCCCACTTTCACTAGCTGGGAGGAACACCTCCAGTGGGAGGTGGATTGTTGGAGTGGTTCAAGTGATATGGCGATTGCTGGTCGTTTTCTATGGATTTTTACTATGAGCCATCTATGGCGCGAGAGGTGCAGAAGAGTTGCAGGAGATAGTTATTGGTGTTCTCCTTCCATTTTGTTAATAAAAATTACAAGTGATGCTCGTTACTTTATAGCAGGAAGTGTACAGCTTCAAAATAGTTTTAGACATGTTTCTCACTGGTTTTGATAGAGTGTTTGCTGGAATGTATAGAGGTTAGGTTGCTTGTTTAAACCTTGAGAGGAGTTTAATGCCTATTGGCATCTCCCGTGCTTAATGACATTTTTTATTAACCATAAAAAGTGTCCTTCCAGAAAGATAACTTCCCTTTTCTATGAAAGGATGTGTCCTTTGGGAAAGGTAACTACGTTTTTCTGTGAAAGGATGTGTCTCTTTGGAAGGTAACTTCCAGTTTTCAGAAGTATAAATAGATGACTGCCATAACTCTTTTAATACGAGTGATTACTTCTTCTTTCCGTTTTCCTTCTCTATTTAATAAAAACAGAAGACTGCAAGATTGCTGCTTCCGAACTTTTAATTGAAGGGACTCCTGGAGGTGATTTGCTAGAGTCTACCAGCAATTTGTAGTGGGGAAAAATAACACTCTAAGGAGAGTGATCTAATCACACCTTTAATTGATTCTTTCCTACCGTTCTTTGACATACCATACCGATAGTAGCTTGTTATAATCATCAGGTTGCAAACGGCTCGTCATTTTGATTTCAAACGAAGAAGTTGTGCTCAAATTAGTCTCGGTACCCACACTATTTCAATAGTGTAGTGTAGACTTCAAAATGGCATATCTCACATGTTCGGACTCCAATGTAGTCCATCAAATCCTACGTGATTGTGGAACTATTTTATACATAATTTATTATCAATAATTTAAGAGTGATTCGGGCATATATGTGCATGTTTTACCCATTAATATCTTGATTGTTTGAACGAGGTAATCATTGTTCACCGATCCATTTTCTACTAGGTTGTACTTCTTTTCTCACATTTCATGTCTTAGTATGTGTGGGAAGCTTAGAGATGAGTTCCAGGACATTGGGGGCCAAAATGAGCCAAAAAGTGAAGGTTTTGCATGGTTCACGGGTCTGGTGCAATGTTCATGGTTTGAGGGCGTGATAATTACCCCAAGACCGTGAAACACTCATATTTTCAGCAAACTTAGTGCATCTCTCGGGCATGGTCACACTTCATGCCCATGGGGCATGAAAATAACAATAAAATTGTAAAGTATGCACAAAATGTTGAGTTTTTAGCTGATATCACATTTTATACTGCTTACGACCGTGAAGTACACACCAAAACCGTGATCCTTGAACTGCTTACGAGTATAAATTGACAGCATTCGACTTTTGAGAAGTAGAGCTAGGATTTTTACCCAAAAACACCCAAGAGGTGATTCTAGAGAGAGAGGACCTACAAGGCTTCTTAGAGCTATTTTGGAGGATCAAATAACCATAGAAGGTTGAAGATCATCCTCGAGATGTTGGTTTGATTATTGATGTATGTGATAGACCCTATGATAGTAAACTCATATTATCTATTGATTTGAATATTTACCATGCAACTGATGGATCTTGATCTCATCCCTCAATTTAGGGCTTTTTATTTATGAGGGAGAATACTCTCAAAGTTTAAATAAGCACTACAAATTCATCACTATGAGTCTTGGATCGAGCGTGATAGGATTTGTAGTGTCATATTGCGGTTTGTCCAGTTGTGGGAGTTGGTTGTGAACACCTCAATTGCCTACGTCAGTTGTATGCGCCCCTACGAGAAGTGCAATTGAGCAGGGTTGGACACACTCGAATAGGAGATCCAACTTAGTATAGAATTCTCTGCGGTATAAGTATTGAGTCAATCAATCTAGGATAGTACTCAACATCTATCTAATTTAGGAGCTAGGAGGATTCATGCCTAACTGAGCTACTGACCTTGTAATTACCTAGGGTAGTAGTTAGGTTAGTGTAGTTAGCTTATTGTCAATAACTATTTTTGTTTCGCTAGATAACAAATCTTAGTTGAAGTAAACGTACATCGAGAGGCCCTTGATTCGATAATTTTATTATTTTACTTATCCTATACTACACCCAGTCATCGGTTATAATTGGCCTCTGATCGGGAGTTGTAGTTAGGTCGGGACAAGTTTTTGGCACTATTGTCGAGAACATTATGGATTATCGGGATAACACTCGGATTTTACCCCATACTTATTTATGGTGCATCCTCTATTGATGTAGACTTTATGTGGTAAGATATTGATTGTACTAAGCTACATATCGACCCCATTTGCTTTAAGCGCACAAGACTCCTTCATTTGAGGCAGAGTTCGGGAACCTGAAAGGAATTTTAGGAAGCACCAACCAACACATTTTTCTTTAAGATGGATCCATGTCTCATGGCAAGGACATCATTCATAGCCCTTACACTAGCCTCCCTCAGATCTCGTATTAACGTAGAAACAAGCAATTCAAAGTCTGACAAACTTCAATCTTGCTTTGGGGGTGTGGCATTACTTGGAGTTTTCAAATTTATGCGCAAATGCACACACAAAATTCCTTTACCATACACAAAATAAGCATGTGACTGACTTGTGAGAGTCATCCCGTCCTCCTCCCGGCCTTGAGCCAACCCGTAAAAATTAGGGGACAAATTTGACAATTGGGGGTAAAAATTGCAGAGCGATTCACGGCCGAAGTCACAGAGTATCGAAAAAGGTAGAAAGAAGTTACCATATTGCCGAAATGCATGCCAATCCGGCTAGTTCCGTGATGTTTGGTTTTCCTACGAGCAACGAAAAATGTAAAACGGAGAAAGCAAGTGCCTCATCTCCTCTTGTACGTCAAAACCTAAGAGGCTCGCCTAAGTGGCTCTCTTGAGGCAATCCAACTCGAGAAGAGCCAAGACTCGACAATGCTAGGCGACATGCCAAAAGAAAATTCATATATAGTGGCATTCAAATCACGATGTCATAAGCGACAAACACGATTGAAGACATATATGAAGGTGTCATGGCGACACTCTCACTCTCCGGATGAAAGAGAGTGACATGTTAACTAGGGCCTACCCGAAATACCCTCATGTATAAACGTGATGTGTTCGTGAAGAGAGTGCCAATAAAAGATACCCAATTTTTCACCCTAAACTTTAGTTCTTTCCGCGTCAAAACTTCGAAGGGGCTAAGACGCGGAAATTGAAACCAATATCGATCCAGAACCTATGAATGCTCATTATGGGTCATGGCACAAGTAAAGTGTAACCAACCTCGATCCACAAACGCAAAACAATCATCACTTAATGAATACAATTAAAGTATCTCATTATTTTGTTTGTCGGTTATCATGTGAGGAAAAAACAAGCAGAAACTGCAAGGTGTAGCCGTGAACCGGAGGTGCCTACGTACGTGCTGCTAAGTCCTTAATGAAGATGACACTTGGCAAGTTTTTTTGTTTTTTATCTTCCTCTTTTGTCGTACGCTGAGCAATGTATTTGTTTTGGGTGAATAAGCTAGGCTATGCTATGTTTACGGTTGGAAAGTTCGTCCAGATAAAATATAATATAATACATATCACCTTATTAGTACAACTGCATAACAATTAAAATATAATATAATTAAATTCCAAAATAATATGAATAAAATTATATATAATTTTGTATACTTTAGACCAAACGAATTGAGAATGAGACAGGTCACGATGAATTGAACACCCGCTCCGGCCCTAAATAGATCAAACAAGAGGGATAATTGAAACCGACAATGATAAGTCGATACATTAATTGACTTATTACCGTACGAGTAGCGCACGGTTTGTTTCTTTATTGAATATTAAAACAAAGACAAAACCTCCCACAAACATTATGAAACTTAGATACAATTTGGCAGCCTTCGCCGCGGCAGGTGGGGGGCAAAAACATAAAAATACACATTACATTAATCAAGCCAAAGACCATGCAGGCAGACGGGTCAATTGACCAAGTCGGAAACCCAGTCAATCTGCGGCAATTCATCCGTCGGCGGCTCAGTTTGCCGGCGGTGCGCCGAAAAAACCCGATCACTATCATCATCAGTATCCTGCTCCTCTTCTTCCTCACCACTAATGCTCAATTTCCGCAAGCTGTTCAGAAACTCGGAGACACCATCGAAGTAACTCCCACCGTCCAGCCTCATCGGCGTCCAGAAGAGCTCCTCCGATCCCGTCGGGGACGCCACCGCCGCCGTGCGGAAGTAACAACACCCGCCGTTCTCCAGCTCAGCCGCCGATCCAGAACCCTGCCGAGTGACGACACCGTTATTGTTGGCAGCAGCTGTAGTAGAATTATCGAGCAGCAGCAGCAAGGGCGCGGCGGCGGCGGGATCCCCCGGGCGGCCGAGCTTGCGACGGTGGTGGAAAGCCGCGGCGGAGGAGGAGGAGTACTTGTTGTGGTGGTTGTGGTTGTCGGGTCGGACCTGGTCCGGGGAATGGGCGAAGAAGCAGACCTTGCGCTGGCAGAAGGGCCCGGAGTTGCAGGGTCGGGTGCGGTAGCGGGCCGGGTGGAGCCAGTACTCGAAGACGCCGTGGGCGAAGTCGCAGAGGTCGCCGTTGGGGCAGGCGCCGTTGCGGAACCAGGGGCAGGCGACGGCGGAGTAGGGGACCTTGCGCGGGTCCCGGCGCGTGGCCTTCTCGCCCTTGTGGGCGTAGGGGCAGTCCGTCCAGTCGTGGCTCCGGGTCCGGTTGCACCGCTTGATCTTGAACCCGTACATCCGGAACTCGTCCGACCCGAATATCTGCTCCTCGATGCTGCTGCTGCTGCGGTGGTGGTTGTTGTTGATGTGGGCCTGGCGGCGGGGCTGGCTGTCGTCGGCTGGGCGTGGACCCGGCATTTTGTCCCGGGTCAGGAGGATGAAACCGGCGGGGTGAACTGCAGTAGTAGTATTGCTCTGCATGAAGTAACTCCACCAACTTACACTTAGGAAGAAGAAAAAAAATGTTTAGCTTTCTTTGTCTCAATTTTTGAGATGATGAAATTGGGGCTTTCCCCCAATTCAAACAATGTGAAGTGAAACTACATGGAGAAGAAGGAAGCATTGAGAGAGGAAATTATAACTACTGAAATACGGGTAGAAATCTGAGTATAGACTGTTACGAACAGCTCCTCCATAGCTATTAATTAAAAGTAATTATTGTATAAGAATTGGTCTGTTTTGTTGGTGGCGGAGAGGCAGGGGATTGCATTTATATAGAGTGGAGCTAGCTAATAGTGACACATACATGCAAAAAGTAGCCACAGTTGGTACGAGCCACGTTGATGGTAGGGGAGGTTATATAACTCATAAACTCGTAGAGTCCTATAAAAATTACATATGAATTTTGTAATAAAATTGAAAAATATAGTAGTTATTGAAGGTTTTATATATACTCTCTACTCATTTAAATTTCTGGTTACGCTGTCATAACCGGGCTGCTCATTAGTACAATATTGTCCGCTTTGGGGTCAAGCCCACACAGTTTTACTCTTGGGTGTCCTCCCCAAAAGGCCTTGTACTAATGAGTTTTGTGGACAATAATATACAAGAGCGTTTCTTTCCTTATATTACCGATGTGGTACTTGAATTATCACATAACATACGCCACGGGATAATGTCCCACTAACCCATGGGGCGAGTCAAGTTGTAGAGAGTGAGGCGGTTAGTTCGGGGGTAACGGCGAGAGAGGGGACTGCAGTTTTTCCATCATACATTTGTAAGGCGCGGGAGGAAAGGGAGGGACGCCGTGCTGCTCTCTGCTTGGCCAGCGCTCTGCCTCGCTACGTAACTCCACTGGAAAAAGGCAGGGGAAAGCGGGGGGAAACGGCGTCGTTTTGCTGCATGCGCATGCATGCCGTTTGTGGGGATACACATCACACGTGGTGGTAAGGTAGGAAAGAGGGACTCCCGGGGGCGGGTCTTGTAATTATGTGTGTTATCACGTCCAAATGGCCATTGGATGGGAGGTGGGAGTTAGAGGCTGGCACTGCTTGTCTGCTTACCGTGCTCATGTTCAACCAAGATGAGTTCGGCTTTGTCGATGGTAAGATAGTCTAGTTGGTAAAAGGGTTGGGTTTCGAGTTTGGGATGTGACAAGGTCTCAGGTTCGATCCCAGTATCACCTTCTTGGTATTCCAGGAGGCACCCTTGGTACAGGAGACGAAGTCTCCCCGATAATGGTAGCATAACGCCGGGCACTGCGCCGGGACAAAGTCCTTGATGGTTAGTATGCAGGTACCCCAGGTTTAGTAGGCTCTGTTGTCACTCATATGGCATGTCGGTTGCTGATGTTCCTGACGCAATATTTATATGTACATTAGAATTGTCTCAGTTTTCGATTCGGTAAACACTTTTGAAAAAAAAAAATATTTCTAATCAATCAGCAATAAAACATCTGTTTTAGCTAAGGGTAGGCACAATATTGAACCCACGAATTCATTAAAATCGATCCACAATATTGACCCACTCATTGTGTTATCTTAAAATAGGTGATCCAATAAAGATCAAGCGGGTACAAGCTGACTGTTGTTGAACCAACATCAAACGACCAAAACACTAGGCGAATCTATAAAACCAAAAAAAATAATAATAATAATAAACCTCAAAATCAGAATTAGTCTCCTTTGATCTCGATAGAAAGATCTTACAATAACTTTACTTTCCTTCCTGCTCTATTTTTCGTGAATATCTTTTTGAGTATGTATATGGTGACTTGCAAGTCATCGTAACTTGGAGAAAATGATCGATCTCTTCCATTAAGTGGTCGACCACTTTCCAAGAAATGGTCGACCTCTTCCATCCAGTGGCGCATACATGCATGTTTAGGGGTGTCCCGGGATACCCCTAAAATTTGAAAACACGATTATTCAACCTCCGATAGTAGTTTGCGTATAAGCAAAAATTGTTTAAGTGGTAGTGGCACACCCTTAAAATTTGGGGAAATGATTATCCAACCTCCCGTAGTAGTTTGCATATTAGTACGAATAATATTTAAGTAGCAGTATATGTGATTTAAACTTGAGACACTGTCATTATTAGTAAACCTATTTTCAAACTACAACGCATTTTTTATTGTGTTTTAGATCCACTTGAGGCAATCGGTTTACCGCTTCTGGCAATGGGTCGACCTGTGACACACTTACCTTCAACCTACACCTGTTTTTTGGAGGAGGTAGACCGCTTCTGCCAAAACAGCCTACCGATTTCGCAAAATGGTTTACGTATCTCTTTCGGCGAACAATCTCCGCTTTCGCCGAACGGTCGACCAGATAACACAGTTACCTCATACTTGCGTTAAGAAAATAATGGACAATAGATATCAACAATATAAAATTTTTTTGTAGTAGCGCAACATCCTATCACCTGTGGGCAACCCAATCCCTATGCAGATTATAGTCCAAGACAAAAAGAAACACCCTCTTTTAACTCTTCTGAAATAAAAATTCACAAAAGCGATGATATGAGATTTATGGACGTTGAAGATGACACAATTGTATAACAAATATACTCTACTTTTTTAGCATCTTCATAACAACAATAGCAACAAATTTGATCCATCACAAGACAATTATAGGATAGAAACAAGAAAATTAGAATTTGAAGTAAAGATGAAGTCTTTATAGAGTTAAGTCAAATATAAGAAATAAATATGCGGAACATTTTTCAAATCTTTGGCGAACAATCACTCGATAAACTTGTCATCTATGCTTGCAGTCTTACTAATTTTAAGTCTCTTACTAGCAAGCATATATTTTATTATCGGACTCTACTTATATACGTTGATATCACTAGCAATGGTTCATCGGGTGGACCAATTATTGAAAGCGGTTAACCACTTGATGAAAGAGGGTGTTGGTTCTTTTTGTCTTGGCTTATAATATGCATAGGGATTTGGTTGCCCACAGGTGATAGGATGTTGCGTTATTACAAAACAATTTTGTATTGTTGGTTTCCTATCGTCCATTATTTTCCTAATGTAAGTATAAAGCAACAATCTTATCTCATTAGAGTTCGCCGAAAGCGGAGATCGTTCGCCAAAATAGGTACGTACGTAAACCACTTTACATAATTGATATCATGTTTTAACAGAAAATGTCTACCTCCTCCAACAAGCGGGTGTAAGTTGAGTTTAAATGCGTCATATGTCGATTCATTATTGCTAGAAACTGTAGACTGGTTGTATCAAGTGGTAGACCACTTGAAGATAAATGTGTTATCAGGTCGACTCATTTTCGAAAGTAGTAAACCAGTTGACTCAACTGGTGAAAGTGATAGACCATTTTCTTGTAAAGTGGTCAATCATTTATTGGAAGAGATCGATCACTTGAAGTTAAGTGTGTCATCAAGTCATCAGATCGATCTATTTCCAAAAATGATGAACTGATTGGCTCAAATGATAGATCACTTAAATGGAATAGATTGACAATTTTCTCCAAATTATGATACACTAAAAGAAAGTACAAACAAATTAAATTTACCATCCGATGGACAAACACAAAACTAGTACCATTAAAGTGAAAAATTAAAAATTAATACTTTAAAACATTGTAAAATTCCTTTGAACATTGTAAAAAATCTTCAGATTTTCATTTATTTATTCGAAGCTAGTTATATCCCACCCAATTCAATATTTTGTGGCCTTAGCACATAGCACGGGAGGACAACTTTGTCTTTTAATATATTTAGCTATCTCGCTGCTATTTGCTATTTGGTGCAGCACAAGCCAAATTAATTTGGGTACCAATTAAAAGTTTTTAAAAAATCATGCTCTAATTGTTGACAATAAACAAGTAATTCAAGCGCATCATTATTTTTGCACAATTCAAGCTCTGGGCTACTTAACTCCATCTGCTATAATTATAACTCATCTATGCATCAATTCCTCCGACATTATGAATGATAAATGCAGGCCGGGCGGATATCTTGACATTCATACTATGACTGATCCAAAAATTAGATTGACGGTATTTAATGATAAGATAAAATTACCAAACATTGTCAATTAATTTTTTTATTAAAAAAAAATCAAGAACAAGATATCCATACATGTCCATCCGCAGCAGATCGTGTGCAGGTCAGATAATTTATCATATAACACAGATTAGAGCAAGTCGGCTCATATGAATATACAATTTAATTTGAAAATATTAAAAAATCAAGAACAAATTATAGCATGATAAATATAGTTAAATTATTCAAGACATTAAAGCTATCACTTAATTACAACTTTATTATTGCTAAAAGCTAAGAAAATAAAAGTGTGTTAGGTCAATGAGAATACTCATACTCGCTGCTTGCGGTATGGATAATACCCATCCCAAAATGTTCAGGATGGTCTTCATCATCATTATAAATATACCTGCCCCATAATTCTGTTCTTAATTATGAATGTATTTAAAACATTTAGTTCATAGAATATAAGGATTATACCTTTAGTATTTTTTTTTTTGGTGCCATCTACCTGTAGTAAGTTGCGAATTGTGGAACATCTATGGAATGCAAAATTCATGTTTTAATCATGATAATCGCTGCTAATATATTGTTCTTCTCTAAAGACAATGCTTTATAAAATATAATCACAATAACACATGCTTAGAGATGGATGGTATTTTACATTGTCATGAATTCATTGCTATGTGATTTTTACTTATATTCTCCAAGGTGGGTATGTGTGTTGAAGGCTTGAAGCAAATAATTTCACTGTAATACGCCAACAAATTACATCATTATTATATCTAAGATTTTTCGCTCTCTACAATTTAGCTATTAAATATGTTTTATCTCGATTTTTATTATGATTGTGTATAATAATTTTCATTTTATTTTGAGCAATTATTTTTGGCGGTTCTATTTCTAGAAGAAATAGTGCCCCTAGAAAATCATCCAATCAATTAAACAATGCTCCAATTCGATCTTAAAAACTTTAATATAAGCAGATACTCATATTATCATAATTCTATACATCTTACGATATAATGTATGTTCATGTCACGTGTTATTTTAGGAAAGTTGTTTTCATATCTCCAGAAGGGTTGGTTGATTCTGATAAGTCTATTTGCTAGTAATGAAATGAGGAGAATGACAGACTCCTTAACTTATGGAGGTAGTAGACCCAGTCATGAAAAGAATGAACTTTGAGAGAAAAAAATGCTATCAACACAAAAAAGAGAAAAATAGAAATAAAAAATTAATAATTATCATTATCAAATTCCAATACGGCAAGGCCAGGTTAAAACTAAAGGAAATCTAAGATAAATTTTGTAGTTATTTGTAATGAATGTAGTTCAAGAAAGTGTGATTACATTATCTTTTATTTGGCTTCTTTGTATCATTGCATAGTTGCGACATTTTTAGAAACGGAATAATTTGGATTCTATATGTTACCAATAAAAAGATAACTTAGTTTGTACAATTACTATTGTTTATAACATTGGAATAATTTGGATTCTATATGTTACCAATAAAAAGATAACTTAATTTGTACAATTACTTGTACAATTACTATTGTTGTTTATAACATTGATTAAATGTATCCGGCCAACGGGCCGGGGTTCAAATCTAGTTTTATTAGTACTCTTTACGGGAACTCTTCATGAATCCTCGACCTAACCTACCTCTTCCTTTTTATTAGTACTCTTTACGGGAACTCTTCCTGAATCCTCGACCTAACCTACCTCTTCTATGCATCCGTGACAAATGTTCCGGACCTTCCTTCACACAAAAGGATTGGTTTTGTAAACTACCTTCCAATCGTATTACAATATGTTTGTGATCTTCCTTTATGGAAGAAGATTGGTTTCCCAAAATTGGTTCCTGTAACTTCTAATATGTATAGACGGATCTGGCTTCACAAAATAGGATTGGTTTTGCAAGGGAACGGATCATGTCAGTAACCTTATGGTGAGTAACCATGAGTAACCAGCCCACATCAGCATGACATCAGCATCTTCTCTCTCCTGGAAAGCCTTTAATTTTCTCCTCTTTAATCTTTGACGGACGATTTCTCACTCATTTTAAGTCGAAATTTAATTTTTTTTGCACAGTTAGATCAGATTAGTTGTGCTCTTCAAAATGATATCCACTTTAATATATTTTTCGAACAAAAAAAATTGAACCATTTTTTACCAGTCTATACCATATGGTATTGACTGGCATTGAAATAAAAGCATACCTATGGTTTGAAAAATGTACCATGGTGGTATGAACAAACCAAGACTGTAGGATGGTTGAATACATGATAGTAGAATTATATTAATTGTCATTTACGACTTTTAACATTGTATACTACACAATACCACCCCGTATGGTATTGTGTGGTATTTTTTGGACCTGTAATTTGTTCACCCAGAAATTTGTAGATCCAATAGATCATGATGAACTCGTCCCTTCTGTGCAAATGTTTTCAAAAACAAATTAAAAACGAAAGAAGATACCATACAATACCACCCTGTACCGGGGTGGTATTGTGTGGTATTTTTTGGTCCTGTAATTTTGATCACCCAAAAATTTGTAGATTCAATAGATCATTGATGAACTCGTCCCTTCTGTGCAAACTTTTTCAAAAACGAATTAAAAACGAAGAAAATACCATATGGTATTGTAGTTGGTATCGAGAGGCCAGAATTTTTTTTTCTAAAAAAATATTGAAAATTGTTCTCATTTGGTAGAGCATGATGAAATATGGTATGCAGTTGGTATCGAGAGGCCAGAATTTTTTTTCTAAAAAAAAATTGAAAATTGTTCTCATTTGGTAGAGCATGATGAACTCGTTCCATCTGTGCAAAAAAATTAAAATCCGAGTTAAAACGAAAAATATATGAGCCAATTAAGAAAGTTAGGAAACATAAAAATGGTCCTTAATTTTCCATCCTTAGATCTGGATTTTCTAAATGAAGAATCCAGATTTGGTTATCTGGATTTTCTAAATGAAGAATCCAGATTTGGTTATTGATGGATGCATAACCCATAATTGGAACCGATCGGGAAAGAACTTTATTAAGGATGTCAAACAACTTTTGAGTCTTCACTTCTGTTCCTTCTGTTCAAAAGATTAGGTCGATATCTCCATAGGTTTTGGGCTTTCCTGCCCTTAACCAGGGAGGGGCAGTGGCTCAACTACTGAAAGAGGCGCCACAACTTAAACAGGACTGTTGGTAAAGCAATTCTGGGAACCAAATCTACAGGCACGCTTCTAGTCGCCGTAACATACAAGACCCTAGAGATCATTACCAAGTTGATCACATTCAATTACATTACAAGGCAGCCACCAAAAATTGCTCATTATTATTTTTAAACTCGAGAAACATACGAAAAAAAGACACGCAACACGAGAATATAAACCCAGGGGGGGGGATACAAAAGGAACAAAGACGCTTAAGCAACCAAATATGAACCCTCAAAATCTGACAAACACTTTTCCATCACATAGCCCGCACACTTCATATTCCATCATCAACATCCTTCACCGGCAGCCGGGCCACGACTCACCATTACCTCTCTCTAGCTAGCTAACATGCATAGCTGCGAGTCGTCCCCTTATTTCTAAGAGGTCTGCTGCCCGGTAACATGCTGCTGCCCGAACTCCGTCGCCCTATCCTTCATTTCTCTTGCCTTCCCAGCTAGCTTCATCCTAGCTTGGTCGAGGGAATCCGCTCCCGGTGGGTGCCTCCCAGTCACATACCTTCCATACCCCCCCAAAAAAAGAAAAAATCAAAAACCAAGTCATGTCATATTTACGACGCGCGCGCGAATCGAAGGCAGAATCTTAAATTACAAGCTAACATGCACTTACCTGTAGATCCAGGACAGAACAGTGATGGCTGCAATGCCGAATCCACCGGAGGCCAAGAAGCCCGTGATGAGGAGACCAACGGTGATGAGAGCAGGGACGAGGACGGGGCTGAAGATGACAAGGAGAGGAGTGGCTATGGTCAGCATAATCACGGTGGCCGCGAGGATAAGGCCCGAGAGGACGAGCATCGATCCTCCGGCGGTGGCCGCAGTGGCAGCCTTGACCACTTGGTAAGACCGGGGTTGCTGCTGCTGGTGCTGCTGCATTGTGCCGCCGTGCTGCTGGTGCTGCGACTGGTCCATTATTTTGCTTATTACCTCAAAAATGGATTTGGGTACGTTTGAGCTTAGCGGAAAGGGAAAGAAGAGATGGGAGGTTGTTTTGTGGAGGGAGAGGGGTGTGGATTTATACAAAAGAGGAGACTTAACAGAGACGGTGGGGGTGGTGAGGTGGAGAGGACACGTGTCGGAAGTTTGGGGCACGTGGTGAGCAGCTTGTCATGCAGGGGTTGCATGAACCGTGAGAAATTGTTGTCGTTGGACACGTTTTGCTTTTACAGGGCCTCGACCACCTACTCGTTTTCTATTTTTCCTTTTGTTCTCCCTTCGTCGGAATCCAGAGATGATGCCGTTCCAAAGCAGTGTAATAAAATAATTAACAGAGGGGATTTGGACACGAAGCTGAACCATTTGAAGCTCTTCTGAGTTGTGACTAGCCAAGCCCTGCAGCATCATATCACATTCACAACTATTGCTTTGAGGCGCTCCATCAGTTGACAGAAAAGAGTGTTTTTTATTATTATTATTGGGACAAAGAGATTTTTTAAAGAGGAGTTAATTTGTGTCTCACGATAGTAATTTTAACTCGCATTAAATTGTTGTGTATTTGAATAGTGCAAAATTAAACATTGGTATACTTAAGTAACTCAGGGAAATAATGGTTAATGATGGTATTGAAATTAGACATTGTCCTAATAGTTACATGAAATTGAAATTCTTTGTATAGGAGTCCTCCTCTAGTTGCCTGCTCTGTAGTTGGTTACTCTCTAGCTAGCTTGTTGCTCTCCAACCGGATGCTCACTCGATCCTTCTCTACGCCCTGGTGAGTGGGTTGGGGTCCGTCTACACCGTTACTAAAACCCTCTGAACATTTGAGGCTTTTCCTATAAGTATTCATCTTAAAACTGGGGGTTGTTATGGCTTCCACCATTTAAGTTTAACATTAAAAAATGTGGGAGTTGTTATTAATTACTCGTTACTCTGAAAAACTTAAATCTTAGACAGACTCAGGGATGCACTCACTAACTAGTACAGCTACCCAACTCATACGTATGAGGGCCTACTGAGCCCTATCCTTATTCTTATCCTTTGTGTAGGTCTTATTGATTCATTCTCATAAACTTAAGAGCATTTTGTGCTCTTCCTTTGAACTTCAACTAGGACGGGAGAATCACGTTATTGAATGACCTCTTAACCTTTTTACCTTAATAATATAACAGTAAAGTGCTACTAATACTTGATCGTAAAGATCGTAACCACTCTAATAGTAAAACATAAATTTAACTGCTAATGGGTAGTTATTGAAAACTCATAAAACGAAGGGCATGAATTATCAAACACAAACGTAGTCTCAAACATACATGCTAAAACATTCATAACTTTATACATTGGCATGCAACTTGACGTAAAACCTACAACTTAAAACTTGTAACGCGTAGAATTTACTTCATTAAACCTCTCACCTCTTAATTGGCGGTTCCTCAATTCCTTTGACATAGAACCCTTAATCTAACTGCTCTTCCTATAACCGATAACAGTTCCTTCTTAATCGGTATTCCTTTAACTTAGCCCCTTAAACTTACTGGAAATTTTTCTCCTTAAAACTTAATCCCACAAGAATCCATGGCTCTTTGGTGTCTTGGTCGAGGTGGCGGATTGCATCCCAAAGGGGGGGGGGGGGTTGTCGTACTTTCTAGTCTTAACATACACCATTGTGAGAAGTATGGATTCATTATTCGGCTGCGTACATCTCACGTGACGGTACTATTCATGTCGATCCAGAACATCAATCTTTAATTGGCTCTCGTTCCATAAGATCCAAATTCCACCCGAAAAACCAACAGCATCAGAAAGATCAAAATGATCAAATCCCAACGACCCAATCAATTCCAATGCGTCATCACCACTAATGTGTGGTTCAACAATGATAGTGATGTTCGGAGAGTGTAGATGAGTATAGTGTTTAAACGAGGAGACGAACTTTGTGTGTTTAGCCCATTGGGCAATTCCTACTAAAAATTATAAACATAATTGAGTATAGTATACGCCTGACGTACACCAATCATTATATATATAGGAAAGAAAGAAGTCTCTGGCAGCCGGCAGGCAGCGACACAGGTCGCAGTTTAATTAGGGAGTCTAGTATCCACAACATTGTTCCCTTCCTTTTGCAAATTAGTTACTCCAAAATAAGGGCAATCGAGCCAACTTTCTTTTGCTCCATCTTCCCCTTACGTCTCAATAAGATGACCATTTCCTTGATCTGGCAGGACGTTTGGATTTCTCTTGCTGGTGACTGCTACGATTGGCTGGTTCGACAGAAGGTTGCTACCGGAGGAGGTTTTCATCGGGGTTGAGCCGATTTGATGATTGCAGTCCATGGGACACCCTTTCACCAAACTTAGTTGGGATTTTTGGATCTTGTTTGGTGGGTGTGAAAGTTGGCTTCCTAGTTTGGGTTTCAGGTTGGAAAACCAGACTAGGCTTAGTAGTCGAATGGAGAGTTACTGTTGAAGATTTTCCTTGATCCTATTTCGTGGGCCCTGCACGGTTTGTCTCGCGTTGGTGGGTCGAAGCGCGTTTCGATCCATTAGTTTTTTCCATTTGCTTAGCCGAACTTATTGGTTTTGCAACGGTCTCCGGGTCTTTTGCTCCTTCTTTTCCCGATTTACTTCTCCTTTCTTCCTGCAAATACTCTGTATTACTTCCTTTTCTACTCTCATTAGTTCCTTTTTTTTCTTTGATCCTCTCATCAATTGGTCCTTCCTCTTATGGAATTCTTTCATTCCCCATTCTTCCTCCGAAGATACTTTTCGTCCCATTCTCCTCCATTTCTCCTAAATCTGAGGATCTCGTCTCAAAAGCCGAACATCGTGATCATGTCGTCGTGTTTCCAGTCGCAGTGGGATTAGTTCCTCCATGATGACTAGTTTCCTTTTTTGGATGGTCCTCTTTTTTAGGCCCGAGTTGGTCGTCGGCGGGATTTCTTGGCCAACATCCATCGTCCGGAATCTTCAGTAACTTCGGGTCGGATGGGCTGACTGTCGTCTGTATTGAACAATGGGTTGGATTGGGTCATGGAATTTTTTCTGCATTTTATCGTTGGCTACATTCCTTGTACATGTTTCTTGCAGATGACCATAGCAACTGATAAGGCACCCCGAGTCTTCAACCCCATCTGTTGCAACCAATTTCTGTTTCAAACGTCTTTCTCCAATTCTCCCTGTAATCTCTCCATTTCAGTTTCACACGATCAGCAACCTCTGTGTATAAATTGATGTATTGAGAATCATAATAATATCAAGAATTACCTTATATTTCATGGTATCAGAGCTTCCCTGCTTCACGGCATCCTAATCCTCTCTTCTCCTATTTTTTTTCTTCCTCTTCTATCTTCTCTCTTTCTGTCCACCTTGTCCAGTGGCACGTCTTCTCCTTCCTCTACCCCCGAGACCGCCGGCCACCTCTCTTCTTCCCCACCGCCACCTGCCCTCCCTCCCACTCCACCTCATATTGTCATCAAAATCTCCCCCACCAATTACCTCCTGTGGAAACTTCAGTTGCTACCTCTTCTCAATAGCTTCGATCTTGCTCAATACGTTGACGGTCTTCTCCGGCTCCTCCTCGCTACCTTGCCGACAACGTCTCCAATCCGGCGTATGATGTGTGGTACAAAAGAGATCAACTTGTTATGTCTTGGCTTGTTATGTCTTTGACCGATGTCGTTCATTCTCAATTGGTGGGGTGCACATCTGCGTTGGATGCTTGGACCCGTCTAGCCACAGCCTACGGCTCCGCCAGTCGTCACAGCATCTGCCACCTCAAAGATCGCTTTGACACTCTCACTTGCGGCACTGACTCTGCAGAGAGGTATCTTGCTCGTGCAAAGGAGATTTCGACCAGTCTGGCCGCCCTCGGCCATCCCATCTCCAACGACGATCTCGTCGCCCGCTGCCTCAAAGGACTCGGCGAGTCCTTCCTTCCTTTTGTTCGAGTGCTTGAGGCACGGCCCTAACCCATCTCCTTCGGCGATTTTCATGGTCTCCTCCTCAATGAAGAAACTCGACTTTGACAGCATCGCTTTCTTGCCGATGGCTACTCACCGACAGTCCTCTACAGCAACACAGGCATGTGCGGCGGCAGGGGCCGAGGATCTCGTGGCGGCGGTCGAACTAGAGGGGGCCGACCCTATTATTCTTCTGCTGGTCACTTTTCCCATTCGGCTGGGCCTCATCAGGGACTTCTTGGGCCTCGACCCACAGGTTACAACCCGCTCTTCCCAAAAGTCAAAATGACTATTATACCCTTGGAAAGTTTTGTCAAATTCCACCGTAAAATCGATGAGGACTAAAAATGTGAACTCTCGGTCCAAACGATGTGGAGTTTTGACATAACATGAGGAAGTTAAAGACGTTAACTGAGTTTTGGATTAAACTCACCCGTAATTATGAAATCCCCAAAATAACCCCAGGCAATTAAACCCTAAACCAACCCTACCTCTCACTCGGTCTCACCAGGACTATATATATAACCTAAAACGAAACCCTTTCCCAACTCTCCCCGGCCGCTCCTCTTTTCCTCCTCACATCACCGTTTTATCGGGCATAGACAATGCAGTGCATCTCCACTGTTTCCCATCGGATCTCTTGCACCGCAAATCATCTAGGATCCCCACATTGTTATCACCTTATGGTTTATTATCCATAGTCCCTTTACCCCTCACGAAGTCAACTATGATTCGCTAACACTGGCCGTAATTGAGTCAACACTCCTGGCGAGACTAGGGTTTGCTAGAGTTGGGCAGAAGGGTGAACTGAAACAGCTACAAAATTGCAGAAGTCCGGGGAAGTATATAAATGGCGAAGAAACCTATAAATCATTAGTTTCGGCCAATTCCTCTCTCTTGCCCCACTCCGACACAAAAGAAGAAGCAACATCTCCCCCATCAACGCATCCATCACCAACGCCCAGAAAGCCATTGAAATCCGTAACTTCCTTGGGGAGAAGAGGGTGAGAAAGTCGGAATTAACAAAAGGAGAAGAAGATTTGAAGGTCATGGGCCATTAGGTGACTGTTAGATATAGTAAAGCGGCTAATTATCAGGTGAGTGTAAAGGGGGTAATATCTACGCCTTACGTATTTTCAAGTATTTGTCTTATGAATTTTAAGTATTTTGTGAAGTAGTTGCTATTGTGGTTTGTGCTTATGATTGATGATATGTGCTTTACTTGAGCTATGATTTGAAGTAAATATTTAAGAGCTTATCGTTACTTTGAAGCTTTACAATTATGAGTTGAAGTTTAGGAGACAAGTTCTCCTTTTTAAGAAGAAACTCACCTTAAAGAAGGTGAAGTCGTTTTAAGTGTTTTTAGTCACTAGCGCCAGTCCGTTGCCTTTTGAGACATTTTGAGATTGAGCAGCAGTTATGCTCTTGAGGCTTTTAAGATGAGCAGCAGTTATGCTCTTGAGAATCGTGGTGAAGAGCCACCACGATAAGTTTAAGATGTTAAGGGGATGAATCGTTACGACTCCCCTAACTAAGTTTAAGTTTAAGGAAAGCCTGGAGGGCTTCTCATACGTATGAGTTGGCAACCGGACTAGCTAGTGAGGGATCCCCGTGCCAGTCAAGAATTTAAGTTGAGATTTGAGCTTTAAGAATACAGTTTTAAGAGTTAAGATTTTTAATAGGTGGAAGTACAAAACAACTTCCTCTAAGTTAAATAAAGTGATCAAGTATTAATAAGATGTTAAAACGTAAGGGCGTAGACTGACCCCATCTCACTCACCAGTTTGAAGAGCTAGAGAGAAGGAGCTAAAGGAGCAGTTAGTGAGCAACGAGTTCGAGGACAGCCAGCTAGAGGAGGGCAGTATAAGCGTCACAGAGGATGCTTAGTCAAGGTTTCAGTAGCAACAACATTGGAGATTATTAGTTATTTACATTTATGATTATGAGTATAGACTGGAGATCCTTTTGAGATTTTAAGTATCGAGTTGCCCATGTGTTAGGGTGTTGCTTTAAACTACAAGTGTGTGTTTTCAGTATTTTATTTATGGAAATTTTTTCCCGCTGCAATTTAAGATTTGAGTATTTTATTTATCAAGGGCATTTTAGTAAAAGTAGTACCCGGACGGGTTAGGGTGTTACATTTTGGTATCAGAGCCGGTCTTCCTCTGATCCTTGGTCTCCAAGGAATACTGGAATATCGGTCTCAGTTTTAAAGGCTTTTGTTTTAAAGGAAAGGAAAACGAGTCAATGATCTTCTTTGAAGAGTTTATTGAATCTCCAGTCTACTCTAATCGTATTAAAATAAATAACTTTAGTCCTAATAAAAGGGTGTGCCAATCGCAAAGTTCTATCCCGAGGGATAGGTACGAGGAATCAAAGGAGTCAAAGGAGCACTACGAGGATTTTTCTACTTAGCTACTAGCAAGTGATCTAATAGGTTCAGATATAAAAATAGGAGAACTAGGAATCTCCGAAGAAAGAGCTACCATCACTAGATGTCAATAGCTATAATGATGAGAGAATTTCAGGGTCATTGACCCTAAGCAGTGGCGAGTCAGGAAATGAAGAGGTACCACGAGAAGTACCTCAACTAGTTTTAGTGGTCAACACTATTACAACACAGTGGCAAGGAGCAGTGGAAAGCTTAGACTTCAAGAAAAGCTAGGGTAGTATAAATGAAGTAAAGGAGGAGAAGAGGCATGGTCATATCCATATAACGATAAAGGAACCCTTATAGATAAACTGCGTCACTAGAGAAGAGGGTACACAACCCTGAGGAGTTAGGCCGATGACAAACCTTAAGAAGGTACAAGACAAGCAACAAGGTAAATGATGTAGATGACAAGTTATGGTCTCAGTACGACCACCATTGGACGAGACATGGAGGAAAGGGCCACTAAAGTCTAAAGCATCCCTGGTAGAAGACAGTGGGGAGTCAATACGTAACAAAAGACAAGGACTGTCAGAGGGAATAACAGTTAGCTAGTAAATGGCAGTACGAATAGAGAACCACTTCTCAGCAGTGCGTGAGTTGGATACCAAGATAACACCGAGTTAGAAAGAGGATATTAGAGACCCTAGAAACTACCCAGATCAAAAAAGGGTCAAGAGGATGTTGGGACCGTTGAAAGGGGAATGCAAGAGTTCACGATGATCTGTTATGGGATTGTCTTATCCTAAATGGAGGGGGCACCTAGCAGCCTAGGGTACATAAGGGGTGACAGAAGGAGGAACCTCTCTAATAAGTTGGAACTAGAGGGCTAAGAGCTAAAGTCCCGAAACTAGCTATAGGAGTAAGTCGTTAAGCCAACCGAGTATAGACAAGTAAGTGGAACGTTTGATAAATGTTCTAGTGAATGGCAGAGAATTCGAGGAAGCACATGAAAGTTCCGATGAAGGATTGAGAATATGTGTAGGTGACTCATGTTCAAGAAAATGCATAGTGGAGTACGACGAGGAAAAGCACTACCAAGAAGGAGGAAATCATTAAGTTACCTCACCCAAGGTGCCCCACTCTGAGTGGGAGCGGCATAGTAGGATGTCATCCAGAGTAAGCGGCTAGTTAAGGATAAGTAAGACACGTTCAGTTAAGCCACTAAGAACCCAGACTATGAGATTAAGGCCATATGCAGGCATCAATCGAGACAAATGAAGTGAATGAGGTATGTTAAAGCCTACCCAGGGAAATCCTCTATTGGAAGCTTTGAACCAAACAATAACGAGAAGATACTCAACGGAGTTCGGTGACCAAATATAGTACAAAGCAACAACGGAAGAGTAGCAAAAGTAAAGAAGCAAGGAGAACACCATAGGACGCTATAGAAAAAAAAAGGTGGTTATCGACCGGACAATGAATGCGTGAAGGAAGATAGTTGGGACATGGTCAAGCACCATCGTGAGTAGAAGTCGTGGGTGTCATTTGTCAAGTCTACCTAGCGAAAGTTTCTAGTGGGAATGTTGGCTCTGAGGTATGGCGAGGAGCTACTGAACTGAGTAGATCATAGCTAGTACAAAGCATCAATGAAGGAGTTGTTGAAGTAAGGAGGAAACCACAAGGCTATAATGAAAGTTGTGGTGAAAAGGGTGGTAGTTGATAAAACGACAAATTCAGGGAGAAAGATAGTTAGGAAGAGTCGGCGAAAGAATACGAAGGTCAACAAGGAGGCGTTAAGGTGATTGCCAATGGAGAATAAGTTGGACCATAGGAAGCCCATCAAGAACTGAGAAGCTCAATGGTCGACTTTAAAGTAGAAGTGTGGTGGTCCAGAACGGTCGAAGGGAAAACCTTATCGATCAAGGTACATAAGTGAGAAGAGAATATGGGCCCCAAGATGACTACATCGAGGACGAGGGACATATAGAACTAGCGAAAAATATCGGTTAGAGGAGTCACGAGTAAAGAAGTAAGATGGATATGAACCTGCTAGGATACCCTAAAGTGAAAGCAATACCACCTATGAGGGTGAAATGTGGCGATCTCTCGAGTGAAAATTTCTTGGATGGGGAAACTGTACGAGGAATTTCAGGCAAGGTCTAAGAACAATAGAAGAGATCGTACGAGAACTCCCAAGTCAAACGGTGATAAGGAGGTTTTAAGTTAGGCGCCATGAGTGAAAAAGTACTCAAAATGGAAGATCATGATTCTGGAAAGAAGTCATAAAATTTATCGTAAGCTAGAGAAAGATGCAAAGGATGCCTCTAATGCATACAGAAAGTCGAAGCATTAGTATGACTGTATGAGGTTCCAGCATTAAGCAGCAAGTAATGAGAAGGTGATCATTCGGTTTATGGTTAATGGATAAGACGAGGCATTAAGGAAGGAAGTAAGAGACGCAAAGTTAAGAGATACAAGGACCTGGGTGATCTATGAGATCAACCCCGGACGAGAGTTATGTTAAAGGAGTTCTACCATCTGACAGAATAGGGGATAAGCCGCCATCAATGACCATGGGGTTGGAGAGGGGCAGTACCTTCTCATATAACGAATAATGGATAGGTATCGTTCCGACATATGTCCAATGTGCAGCCTAGGTGATGTGAGGGGTTAAGAAGCCACAACAAAATTGAAGTTGCAGGGAATGGATAGAAGGATTTTAGTCATGTCGTATAAGTTAAAGGAAATAAAAATCCGCAAAGTGAAAAGGATTACCACAAGCGATGCTTAGGATCACAGTGGACAAATTTCGAGGGCGAAATTTCAATAAGTGGGGAGGAAATGTGATCTCGACTTCGATTTAGGTTCAACATCAAGTACTGAATCAGTTGGACCAAATAAATTAAGCCAAAATTTGGTCCCATCACACCGTGAGCCCAAGTTGGAAAATTTTGAAAATGGCAATGAATCACTCAAGCCCATTCGATGCTACCGAGCTAGATGAGAATACCCGTTATGGTCAAGAGTACATATAAGAACTATAGTAAGCTATTCAAGACAAGGTAAGGGCACGCCATCGAAGTTCATATGGCAAGAGTGAAATCTTGAGCCCAAGAAGCACGAGAATGAGGAGTATGGAAGGATGAGCCGATCAAATTTCGAGGACAAAATTTTTATAAGGATGGAGTAAATGTTACACCCCGCTCTTCCCAAAAGTCAAGATGACTATTATACCCTTGGAAAAATTTGTCAAATTCCATCGTAAAATCGACGAGGACTAAAAATGTGAACTCTCGGTCCAAACGATGTGGAGTTTCGACATAACATGAAGAAGTTATGGACGTTAACAGAGTTTTGGATTAAAATCACCCGTAATTATGAAATTCCCAAAATAACTCCAGGCAATTAAACCCTAACCCAACCCTACCTCTCACTCGGTCACAC